TTGAGAAGAAGTATTCATTAGAAGATCTAGTGACTAAATTGGTTGAGATATCTACTCAACACATGCAAAGAACAGATAAAACCTTACAAGTCCAAGGAGCTACCATAAAAAATTTGGAAAATCAGATGGGACAAATAACGAAAGCACTTTCAGAGAGACCACCAGGAACATTACCTAGTGACACTGAGATAAATCCCAAACAGCAGGTAATGTCAGTGAAGGTTGTGGATGAAGAGCAGATTGAGGCCATCACTACCCACAGTGGAGTTCAACTGACAGAGATTAACGTGAAGAGACCAGCTGCTACACAAGAGAAAGTACCTACCACGGTTGAGGAAAAATTGGAAGAGTCCGATCAGAACGAGGAAAAAGAAACAGTGTCAAAGGATTCAAAGGGTAAGACAACCACTCCTATTAAACCATATGTGCCTCCTATCCCATTTCCCCGNTCCCAACACGACGCTCTTCCTTTCTCAGAACGAGGAACAAGAAAGAGCATCAAAGTATCCAAAGTTTAAGGCAACCACTACTGTTAAATCCTATGTGCCTCCAATCCCATTTCCCCAGAGATTGCAAAAGAAAAAGTTCGATGATCAATTCAAACAGTTCCTAAATATGCTGAAAAAGCTCCACATCAATACCCCATTCATCGATGCTATACGACAGATCCCGATGTATGCAAAGTTCCTAAAGGATATGATATCTAAGAAAAGAAAGCTTCCAGACTGGGAAGAAGTGGCATTGACTGAGGAGAGCAGTGCAAGACTGCAAAATAAATTGCCACCAAAACTTAAGGACCCAGGGAGTTTCACTTTACCTATTTCATTAGGCAAAGAATTCCATTTTAATGTTTTATGTGATACAGGTGCAAGTATAAATTTAATGCCTTTATCTACTTTTAGGAAACTAGGAGTTGGAAAAGTTCAAGAATCGAATGTAATGCTGCAACTGGCAGATAGGAGCATTAGATACCCATGTGGGAAGATTGAGGATGTGCTCATCAAGGTTGGGAAGCTGATATTCCCCGCGGACTTCCTTGTTATGGACCTCGAAGACGACCACGATATGCCAATTATCTTAGGTCGACCCTTTTTAGCAACAAGTCGAACTTTGATTGACATGGAGAAGGGCGAGCTAATTGTGAGGGTTGAAGACAGTTAAGACACACGTGAGATCTTTAAATTATATAATCCACCCAAACAACCAGTAGGTCATTGCATTTATTGTTGGATTTTGATTGTTTTGGGCTAAATAACACATGTTCTAGGTTAATTGATTTTTATTGTTTTATTTGACCGCTATGTACAGGAACATGACGTCGCTGAATACTCACACCAACACGGACCAGGGAAAAAAAGGATAGCGAAGATTGTCTAGCCATTACACATAATTCCTCCTACCTTTATCAGAAAAACTCAGGGAGTATCTTCTTCCTTTTCTTCCCCGTCCCCTCATATTTTGATTTATGCTTTATGACATTGAGGACAAAGTCGATTTTAAGTTTAGGGGTGGGATAAACTTTGAGTTTTTACTTTTAGTGTGTTTTTGAGTGTTTTTTTTTCGTTATTGCTTTAGTTTATAATAGAAAAAATATATATTTTTTTTCTTATTTTAAGCTGTGAGTTTATTAGATAGTCTGGGCTGATAATGATGATTAAATTTGAGTTTAGGTATTAATTTATGAACTATGGATATGATGTATGCTAGACTGATTGAAATTTAACCTTGCAAAGCTTGATATTATACTTACACTAGAATTAAGTTGGACATTGTGATGCTATGAGTTGATTCATATAATTGATAGGTTGATGTAGTTGGACTTAGATGCTTAACCAAAATCATACTAAATTACTTATCCTTAGACCAAATTTAGCGCAGTTTTGGGGTATTTTGCTGTTGTATGAAGATACGGATGTGGATAGGGATTCCATGTGTGAAAAATTTTGTGTGGATTGTCTTAGATTAACGGGATCAAATTTTGGCGAAAATCTTATTTGAGATGTCATTTTGCTTGAATATGTGTTTGATAAGGGACATTGCACTGATCTGGGCATAACTTTTTAAATGTGAAAATTCTCTTCGAAACCTATTTGACTTAGGTTATTAAACCTGTAAGGGTGTTTAAAACCTGGTGCCCTAAAGTCATCTGACTTGGGAGTCATCGGCCTAAAGTCCGTTACATGGGTCATTTAGAAAGTTTAAGGGAGATGTTACAAAAAAAAAATCCAATTGAAAAAAAAAAAAGCAAGTGCATGAAAGAGAAAAAAATGCACAAATGCCTTGATTAAGCTCCAAACACTTGTTTGAGAGGATTTGACTTTTGATAAAAAATAATTAGTCTAATTGAGTCTTGGATGTCGAAGCAATCAAAGAATTGGAGAATCCTTGTTTATTGATGTGTTGACTTACAATTGATAAAGTCCACCTGAACTAGAGTAGGTGAGGATAGTAATTAAAAATTCAACCTTAGATTATACACTGAGAAAAAAGTGAAAAAAAAGAACAAATTTGGAAGTGTGTGAATCATACGAGAGGTGAAAGGATATATTTGACCACAAAGGGTCGGGAACTGAAGCAACTTGTAAAGTCATGATATCTACTTAGTTCTTCACACACATCGATTTTGCATTGGAAGAGTGGATATTGGTTTGGTATTGTAACTTTGAAATGGTTTGTAGATCTAGTACTATAATTTCAAATACTGTGATAAAAGGCTATATTGCCTAACATAAAATTTTTACATACTTGCGTGTTTGTTGTTATTTAGATTATAATTTTGTTTGAAAACAAACAAATGTTTAAGTTTGGAGGTATTTGATAAGTGCAATTTTTACAATTATTTGGGACCTAAATTAACGACATTCATTAGTTCTTTTGACAAAATATATTCTAAATTATTGTATTTTATGTTTAATAGGTAAAACTCGTTGAATGGAAAATAAATTGAAGAAAGGAAGCAAAAGATGGCGAAAATTAATTCCAACGTCCAATTAAATTACTGCTTATATATATATATGAGATGCAACCGAGAAGGAAGAGAGGAGACGACGTAGAAATATATATACATACAGGTCTTCAAAGCAGAAAAAGAAGGCAGCCAAACCAGATTACATATATTATACACAGCCGAATCACGCAAAAGAAAGAAATAAAAACAGAGACGCAGAGAAACTGTACAGTTTTGGAGGTTGGCAATTAAAAAGTTATCTATCATACACGGAAACCGAGGAGCTTATTATATATATATATATCCTAACTACATGAAAGAGTGGGTTTTTTATGCCACGCGTCAAGTTTTCCTATCGTCCTCAAAACGACGTCGTCTCGCCCCCATTATTTTTTCATTTGCTTTTCACTCTTTCCATTCTTCATTTCTTCTCATTTTCTTCTCTGTCTGAACCCTTGTCAGCTACAACCAATCTGGTTTTGCCACAGTTAAATAGTCTTATTTGTTAACTATCGAGTTGATATTTTAAATATCTTCTACGTATCTTCTTCTACCGTCTTCCAATTGAGTTGATATTTAAAATATCTACTACATATCTTCTTCTACCGTATTTCAATTCATTTTTCCTCTCAAATTTTTTCACAGTGGCGCCGTGAAGTCCCTTTGGTAAGGTTGCATATTGTTTTTTTTATATATAATTTCGCGTCTTTAATATTTGTTGTTTTTTGTAGTTGGAATTGTTTTTTTTTTCTCTTCGAATAGCCTTCTGGAAGATCATCGAACAATTATTAAATATTTTGGTTTGATGTTGGGTTTTCAATTATTAATCTTTTCACTTCACACCTACATGATTTTATTGTGAAGATGGTGAACATGCATTACTGAGACACGAGGAATTGTCTCCGTGCCACAGCGTCTCGGTGCACGAGACAGAGGCACGTTCTCGTATCTTCGTCCTTGCAAGAGACACGAAGAAATATCTCTGTGCTGCAGAGCCTCCGTGCACGGAATGGAGACAATGGTTCGTGGCTGAAAATCGGCTTGGGTAAATGAAATCATTTATTTAGTCCTTGTTTGATTTTTGTCATTGGTTGTCAGCTTCAAAGTTCATCTCTTCTCTCCTCACTTTCTCTTTCCATGTAAATGCTAAATTAAGGTTTTTGCTTTTCAGAAAAGAAGTGTTATTTTAACTTTTTTGTTTGTCTGTTAGAATTATTTATTGATCTATTATTGTTGATTTTAACCATTAGTGTCATCTCAGCGAGAGCCTAATCACCTTCATACTCAAGTGCAGCCTGAATTGCCGATTCTGATTGCTATTCACAGTACAGTGCTTCTCTCAAATGTAATTGTCAAAATCCCCCAATTTACAATTTTGACTCATTTTTATTTGAATGACATCTTGTTATTTTTATGTTGTATTTGTCAAATATGATTGTTGTTTGATTTTTGTTGAATTATCTTTGTTTAATTCGATCTGTATATTATTTTGTGGGCGATTAAGATTTTCCATAAAAATTGTACTTCCAACTAATCGTAAAAGAAGGAGTTTTTTACTAGCAAGCACTAGGCTTTTATTGTGCTTCTATATACTACGTAAAATTTCATTTCTTAGAGAGGATGATATATAAGGCCATAACATTCAAAATGAGTTAATTTTGCATTTTTATTGTTAGCTTATATTGAGATTCTGATATATAATGGTTTGAAGTATTCCTAATTTTCAAATATTTGATTTTTGATGAGCATCCGCTCCCATATGGACACAACTCTTAGGGGCATTACTTCTTTTGTTACTGTGATAAGCTTCACAATCTAACTATTCTCCCTAAGCTAGCATATTAAATGATGTCAACATTGAGTTATGACTTCGAGCATGTCTAGCCAAGCTTTTAAGTTATTTCATGTAATATTTCTTGCCAAAATGTTTGATATCTTTTAAAAGTTTTTTTCTTTTAATATTGAGTTCAAATATTGTCTTATTTGTTATGGTGCAACTGTTCGACTTATAGAAGAGGCAATCCGGAGATCTAATGCTTTGGAGGAAGATGATATGGAAACTTTAAGGTTTGTCACTGCATTTTCCGATCATTATTTTTAACCAATTATCTCTATTATTTGTATTTCACTACCTTTTTCCTGTATTAATTTGTCACTATGTCTATTAATTTGTATTAATTTGTCACTCTATTAATTTATATTAATTTATATAATACTTACATCTCTACCCTTCAACCCATTTATAAGATAAATTAAAGAAGCAAGTTTACACCGTTATCAATGTGCTCTTACAACAATTGATTTTGAATGAACTTTGTAGAACAGATGTAGATTTGAGGGGAGGGCGAGATTTGGGTTCATGACTAATATTTTGTTCTATATGCTCACAATGCTTTCCTAGATTCCTATGCTTGCATTTTACTTTGCTGCCGATGATAGAGTAAAAAATGTTTATATTTTCAATTAACTGCTATTGACTTTTTGTCTTTTGAATTTTTGTTTAGATACTTTAAGGGGCCTGAGCTGCTTGTGGATTTGCAATACTGTGATTATTCTCTAAACATATGGAACCTGGGTTGTATGTTTGCTGGAATGGTGAGAATTGTTCTTCTAAAATTTCATGTTGTTAATGTTGTGCCAATTAATTTCTTATTTTCTTTAACATGCAGATTTTCCGGAAGGAGCTTTTCTTCTATGGCCATGACATTTGTTCATGCCTCCATCCAAGGACGGAGGCAAGGAGAAATGCCTCCATTCTCCATGCCTTCATCCTTGGATGGAGGCATGAAGAAATGTCCCCATCCAACTAAACTTAGATGTGATGGCGTTATAAGTTATTTCTTTTCCCTTTTTTCTTTTCTCAGTGAAACTAATGTTTCAGGTTTGGAAGCCATTAGCCAGCTTCTATAGCATCTTACTTCTATTGCTAGCGAGCTGTCTACTTCTCCAATCAAATCAAGGCATCATTTGATCCTTCAAGTGACGGAATCAAGGTAACACATGGATTCTCATAATTCAAAAATTTATTTTATTTACTTCTGTCATATTCTCGACCAATTTCTATATTTCTTCTTCTTTAGGTATAATTTAATTTCAACTAGAGGAATACCTCCATCCAAGGATGAAGACATGGATGGAGACATGTCTCCATCCTTGGATGGAGGCATTGGAGGCAAGGATGGAGGCATTTTTCCTTACCTCCATCCTTGGATGGAGACATGAAGAAATGCCTCCATCCTTGGATGGGATGCCTCCATCCCATCCAAGGTTGGAGGCATTTCGGATGGAGGCAAGGAGAAATGCCTCCATCCCATCCAAGGATG